ATTAATTAAATAAGTATAAGAATAAATAAATATTACAAAATAAAATAAAAAAATAATATATAATATGTATCAGCAATATTTGATGTTAATTCAGAATAAATTTTATAAAAATGAATGATGGAAAGTTTTTTATGTTATAAAAATTTGATTAAAATTTGATTAAATTTGATTATAATATCAATGTTTTCAACAGAAAAGTTAACTGAATAATGAAAGTGCTCGCGCGACTTGTCCCGTACTTATAAACGCTCGCGTAACCGAAGTGTGCCGAAGATATACGTTGTTTTCCGATCGTATTAAAATCGATTTTTCGAATACAGTGATCAATAATTTAACAATTTTCAGATTTTTATTGTTAATTTATGAATATTACAATTCATTACATTATTATATGTAATAATTAATATATATTTTTACGAATTAAAGCTAGATTTATTGTTTTATAATTTTAATTTTTAATTCATATCTGTATTAAAATATTTTCACTGTTATTTTACGCAAAAATATGTATCTAAAAATTCATTGCAATATAAAATGTAATAATTAATATATATTTTTATAAACTATAGGTAAATTTATTATTTTAAAGTATTTATTTATATATATTTTATATTTATTGTATATAATAAATTAAATATAATATAATTATAAATTAATAAAGAAATGAATAATAAATTATATTATATAAAATAAATATATATATATTTATTATATATAATTATATAATTTTCGATTTATAGTTGTATATTATACTTCAATTTTCGCGCCGATTTGAAATAGGGAAATAGGGAATTTATAATTTTAACCAATTAAAAAACTGTTAAGATTTAGCCGCGAATTGAATCAGTGCGCATCATTGTACGCATCATAGTGCGCATCATAGTGCGCATGACGTCAGTGTACAGTTGAAAATCATAGTGTGAGGCTGCGTTTCATCGGTTGAAGAATATAATTATATAAAATTTTGTGGATAAACTATTGTGTTATGGTTATTAAGTTTAACTATGAGTAACTAAATCTTTTTTAATAAATATGTGTTTGTTTAATTATTATTATATTCAAGAATTGAAAGTGAAGTTTCATCATCTTTGTGCAGGTTATTGTTAGATTCAAGCATCGAAGGCGGGATGAATTCGGAAATATAATCATTTTTACGTATGCCATGGTGATTAAAAAATAATCTAATGAACAACTTCGTACACAAACAAATCTGAACATCAAATGGTAAGATTTTCTGATATATTTCTTTCCTAAATACCTCTATTTGTATCAACTCATGTATTATTTCTTCGACACGTTCCGACTTAAATTATCGAATATATATCTCCCCTCTTTTTTTACCTCTCAATTTGTAATTCGATATATCGAAATTGCTATACGAGATATCATTCTGTCGATAGTTTAGACAATTGGACGCTTCGTTTCAGGTACGTGTTCCATCTATTTTATAATATTTATTTGATAATTATTCTTT